ATATTTTTTTAAACATATAGCATGTGAATGGATTGCATCTGATAACAATCCTCAAATTGGGTTCTATTGTATGTCGAGTTTGTAAATATAATTTGTAAATCGATGCTTATTAACGCACGTTTGCCACACTAGTCCTATAATAAAAAGGTAAAGAATATCTTACTCTTTTTTAAAAGTTGGGAAACCAATTTGCTACTCGAGCATATGTTGAAGACCAGTCGTACCATTAAGCTCTCCAGATATTACCCTGCATCAATTAAGCTATTTATACCTTCAAATGATACATCTTTGTTAAAATTGTGTGATGTTTAAAAAATATGACCATTGATTTAGCTATGTCACCGAGTCGAGCCGAAAAAAAAAAACTCGAGCTCGGCTCAAGTTTTTTTGGCTGAGTTTTTTTCGGGCCCAAGTCGAGCCCGGCCAAAAAAAAGACTCAGCTCAAGCTTTGGCCCGAGCCTTAGCGGGCCGAGCCGACTTGATTTTTTATTTATTTTTTTCTTTTTGCTTTTTACTTTTTTTTCATTAATTTTAATTTTTTTTATTAATTACGGGCCAATCCCCCAAAATGGGGGCTCATCCCGAGCCTAAGCTCGGTTCCACAAAGCACTAGCAGAGCCCGGCTCAAGCTTTTTCCAGTTGAGCCCAAGCTGGTGAGCTTTTTTGTCATACTACATTGATTTGAATAAGTGTTATTCAAATAAATGGCCACATTACCTGTCACATCACAATGTGTCAACAAACGTGTAAGTGTGGCATGATTGTATGCATTCGACAGTCCAAACTTTGAGACTGATTACTCGCGTCTTCCTTTGCCCACCCCCACCTGACTACATCTACTTCCTTGTACATGATATCGAGTATCCTGTTTGATTCTGTTGTTTATTCCAGTTAGGCCGAAGTATTTGGCCCCTTCTTCATGCCTACTCATGTTTCACTCGCCTGTTAATCGATAAAAAGAAAAAAAAAGAACGAAGAATAGGAAACCGAGTATATAAGAGCTTTAGTGCAGCTCTTGTGTCTACTGATTTGTGTAAACATGCTCTTCATTCTTCCCCATTGAGAATATAAATTAAAGACGTGAAAAGGATAAGTTAAACAAAGTAATTATTTAAATAACTAATTTACAAAGGAAATATTATTCTGAATTGAAACTTCACAGATTTGAACATGGATGTTAAAACTGCACTTTCTACAAGCACGAAATTTACATTTGATGCATGAAAGACCACATAACAACAATACAAAACATTACCGAGTAAACTAAGGTAGCATCCGGAAGCTTAACATAGACACTTGCCATTCCTACCACCGGCAAATCTTCACGGACACTTGATCTACACACAAATATCCTTACATGAAACTCTGTACAGCATCCCTTTGCTGCACTTACAGCAATGGGTAATATTACGACTCTCAATATATAGACTATTATACAGATATAACCTCTTGATAGAGAGAGCTCGACTCCTATGCTTTTGTGGTCATATTTGTAGGGTTGGAACTAGATAAATTTACATATAGCCGTAGAGTTGCTTCAATTTTCTTGCAGCCACGTTCCTCCCAACCAAATGCCACTTAACCACAGCCAGAACCTTACACCATCTTGTTTTGTGCTTCCTGTTCCTGGGGAAATGAATTCCATGATTGGAAGAGAAAGTGCCCATTTCTTGGGTGGTTGAACCCAGAAACAATTCATTCCCCTGGAATGCTGAGGACTTAACCAGAAGATTATCGGCACTTGGATCGTTAATTGACATATATGAGCCCACATAATTACCTCCAGAAGCCCAAGTATCTGCTCCCATATAGGATTCGCTCTGAGAATTATTCATCCCCAAATTGTTTCCGGACGTCGAATTAAATCCTTGCATTTGACAAGAACTCTCTCCAAAAGACACTTCAAATGGACTATATTCTCGTTCCACTTCGTAATTATGTAGTGAAATTGTTGGATGAGCAGGGTTCATCTGCATTTCTAGTTGATACGTGAAGAAAAAATTTCTCAGTCAAATCCAAGATAATTTATAGGCTGAGAAGAAAAGGCAACGGAGAGAAGGGTTCAACGGTTAAGTTACCTTGTTGAACTGGAAAATTAGCATGCACATACGAAGTAGGACAGTTAGGATTGTCCACTCCCACACTAGGCAATAGCATCGGGTAGCCAACAGCTGATTGATCATTGATGGGCACCAAGTCCTTTAAGTTTCTATAAGCATGCTGCTTCAGATTTTCCACCACTTGCTATCCATAAAATAGGGATGTCAAATTAGTCTCATATTAGAACATGGAACTTCTGGACCCAAAAAAGGCTTTTCAGCAACAAATTTGCTACTGCTAAAATGGGATGCAGTACTTATTAAAACATACATACATACACGGGCCATTAAATTCTCAAATGTTTGATGTCAGCAAAGTCGTAGGCAAAATAACAATTACTGAAATGACTTATTTCACGCCACTGAAACAGAAGCACTCCACTCGAGCCAGACAAAGAAAAATAAAAAAAAGGTTGAGGCTGAAGATACCAACCATCTGATATACATTGAGTTCATCCAAGGGAAGGTAATTTTGTCCATCAAAAGTAGCTCCCACAAGCTTGTAGACGCAGTTGAATAAAAGCCTAATTTCATGTGCACCAACATACAAGTAAAATCCGTAATCCAGATTGCAATTTGTAGCATGCTCGATGATTGTATCCCACGTCTTCTTGTTTGAGATGTTGAGTATCTACACTTCAAAAATGTTGTCTTAGATGGTTCCCCTAAAGAACTTGTCGAGAACATAGATTCCTACCCATTTAATGTCTCAAAGATGATATCATGAATGAGTGTCTTACAGTGCGTAGTGAAGACTGGTCTCTGAAGTGTAACCTCAAAAAGTCTCTGACAGAGGATATACCATTCTGAGCCAACCTTTTATGGGATGGACCATCTTTAGCTATCTTTACCAAGCGCCATACTTCATCATCCAAGGATGGAGGGTAGTGTTTCTGGTATGCTAAAAAACATGATATATCAATAAATAATTTGTCCATGTTTAACTGCAAATATAGATCCCTTAAAATTTCGAGGGTTCAACTAGAAGCATAAAGTCCTAAGTTAGCAACTAAAGTTACTAAACAAATGCTTAATTTTGTTTCCCCAAAACCTTCTCCCCAATATTAACCTCAACGAAATTACTGTAAAAAGCTTCAAGAATAATAAAAGTAATAAATCATCCTCTTCATTAATCAAACATCACTAATAGGGGAAAAATGGTTCAGAAGAAATACTTACACTCTCCGCGGTGATCTTTTACTTTGAAGGCTTCGCTTATTCCTTCCCTAATAGTGGAATTAGCATTCACTTTCACACCCAACCTAAATCTCCCACTCCTAATCCAGCTTGAATTATCAGTGAAGTTGGCTTCACCAATATAACCTACTCCCTCTTTCAAATGGACTGTCAATTCTCCAGTCAGCAATGGCCTTTTTCCTTCTCTATTTGGAACAATTTTACTCTCAAACTCTCTCTGTGTCCAGTTGTTTTGATCATCGGGACTAAAATCACCATCAAGAACAACAACATCGACCTTTAGTGAAGATAGGGGTCCCGATGTTATTATGCTATTTGAACGAGCATCATACAGAACTATTTTGACAGGTCCTCTGTCCTCGGATAGGATCCTATTGCCCGTGAAAATAGTATCAGGCAATTCACAATCAAAGCGCAGCTGACATGTTCTAGATCCAGAGCTCTCGATTTGATTTTGTGAGGGTCTACAAGAAACAATTATAGCTACGTTTTAGATTATATAATGCATAGAATGGTCAGACTTGAGATGATTGATAGATGTGCTAACCTCAGAAATGGATGGATTGCACGTTCAACCTCTTCTCGCACCTATTAAGACAATAGAATAGGGAAAGCATGAAGTCAAAATATGTGCTCTAACTAGCAAATTTCAGTCATTTCTTGTCTGAAAAAAACATTTTTTAAAGGTACTGAAAAACAACAATTAAATGAAGAATCCAGTATATAAACATAATTAACTGGTAAAAAGTTCAAAACCTTCCAAAATTTATGTGAAAGAATTGAGATGTGGCAACCTAACTTCAATTTCATAAAGGAATAACTAAAAGAGTATAAACAAAAGGGAAATATGTCAAATCATCAAAATCTTGTCAACTCATAAGGTTCATTTATTAGCATAAAGCCACAAACACATGATATTTCACAAATATAAAAGTAAAATCTTCTTCAATACAATAAAAATACGACGAATATGACTTAAAAAGAACAAAAGAGCATACCACATTTCGAAAGAAGGGTTCAAATTTATGCACAAATTCTTCAACAGCCTGACTATTCTCCAACTCTCCGAAAACACTGCACGTACCAAGTATAGCAGAAACAAAGTCAACAAACAAATCAAGAACTCAATCATCTAACACAATTATAAACATGTCAAGTACTAATCCACCCACGTTGCAAGAAAATGCCGACGTTTAAATTCGCGAGTTGGAAGTTCAGAACCTTCCTCACCCCCTTCCCTCACTGGTCGTTTCAGCATCATCGAAAACCCAAATTCACAAGCTTAAAAGAACTTATTTTAGAGATTATCTAAACTGCACAACTTCCTCTCCTTTAAATAGAAATCAGCAGTGATCAATTTACAAGAAACTACCCAGGAAGCTTCGATTTGTGATTAAAAAAACACATATCACAAAAGTCAAGCACATATGCCGTACGTTTTTAGCAAAAAACAAAACTTTTCATCGTCTAACATCAGCCCACAAACCCAGTGTGTTTTGTGTGTTGGTATGTTGGTTTATAAGGGTGGGGGGTGTAGGCCTTGTGGGGTCTGGTATTAAATTTCTTCGATAATCAAGATTCAGAAAATTGATCATATCAAAGAGATTTTTGACACGTTAAGATTGTGTGTGTCTTGACTGAAACAAAATTAATTAAGATTCTACCAACTAAACATCACAATCCATTGAACAAGCGCGTAAATCCTGAAAGCTACTAATGGAATACAAATCTTGGAAATCACTAAAACAAGTATAATGAGAAGAAAATGAGGTAAGAGAAAGACAAACACGATAAAGCAACGCGGAGTGGCTGACTAGTTCGATAGTGAGAGATAGGTGTTATACATACAAATATACATATATGGATATACCGGCGGAGTAAAACAGAAGCTCAGCGGGAAATTCGACGCGGCAAAGCCCACGTAGGAGAGAGAGGGTGGCGCGTTTAGGTGAATAAGCCGTGTTTGGCGTTATAATTTTAATGCATTTTTTATTTTTTTTCAACAACTCATCCTTTAATAAATTTAAAGAGCAACTCTGCTAGGTGAGTCTAGATGGCATCCAAGTCTTTCAAAAATAACCAGTCAAATCCCAAACCTTTTAATCTTAATACTTACATCCTAATGTTTTTAATAAATTTGTATCGTAAACCCTCTAATGATTTCTCTAAAAATCCGTTGATCAAAAGTCAAATGTCCGATATTAATTTAACCAATTTTAATGAGGGAAAAGGGTATTTTTAATATTTTTTACTTAGAATAATTAAAAGAAGTAAATAATCAAAGAAAGATCAGATATTTGATTCTTTATTAATTGGCATATTTCGAATGAAAACTGTTGAGGTCATTTCGACGCATATTTATTAAAATATTTGGGATATATGTGTTAAAATTAGAAGGTTTAGGACCTGGTTGCATATTTTAAAAATAAATTGGAACCCCTACTCTTAATTTCCCTAAAATTAAAAGCCAAAAAAAGACTTGCAAAGTCTCTCTTTGTGTGTGTAGGTGTGTGTGTGGGGTGGTCTTTCGTGGTGGTGTGGTTGGGTTGCGATGTTTTGACTTTGAGACTTGAGTGCATATATGGCGTCCATAATAAACACAATTATGGCATTCCTTTGTCGGGTCCCTTGTCCAAAATTGTGATTTTAAGGGTCCGTTTGTTTTGTAAAAGTTAAAAGTTGATTTTGATATTAAAAAGCTTTTGAATGTGTTGGAATAATTTTTTGAAGTAGTTTACGTAGTTAAAAGAATTTTTAAACGAAACAAATCTCAGATGATTTCCTCGTGAAACTTTCCAATCTACTAACAAAAGTAAAAATATAAGTAGAAGACATGTGAAATGGACTCTAAGCCTCCGTTTGATCTACACTATTATTTCATTAAAATGAAAAATATGACCATTATCCATGACATCAACATTTAAATTCAAATTTTCTATCTCTTATATGTGCCCTAATAACGACTATATTTTTCATTCTCATTCTACAATAATTTAGCTCAAACAGGGCCTAAGTAGTGAATCTTGAGGAATCTCGAGGAATAAGTGGTTTATAAATTTTTTTTTCGAGATTAGCATTGCCTCTTTCGCTCATCCCCTTCGTCAGCTGTTGTTTGGCGTGTTAATTACAAATTTTGAGGTGGTACATGAAAGGTAGTGTATGATACTGACTATTGAAAAGTGGATATTCACGAAAAAACTCACAAAGACAAGTTGCAATTAGCCTTTGAATTTCAATCCAAAGTCTTTGGATGCATATAGAATAGAAGGTCAATTTTCGTAGAGTCCTATACGCGTTATAAAGAATTTTCATTCGTAAAAAAATGAATTCTTTATGAAATATTTTTTTTAAAAAAACCATAACAACTTAATATTTTAACAGATGAAGGAGGACACGTAACCTTTTAAATTCATTGATTTGATAGCCAAAAATTTTTTTCAGTTACTTTTATTTTATTATGAACTTGTTTGGGAAGGATTAAAATCCAATTAAAATTGAAAATATAACCGTTATTGGGTCTCACCCGTCTAATAAAAGTCAACTCCAACGATTATATTTTCAATTTTAATCTGATTTTAATTACTCCCAAACAAGCTCTATATATGTTACTATCCTCCAAAATTGCCTAGAAAAGAGGTTTTGTTAATGTAACTATTACATCTTTGAAGACAAAAGAGCATAAGATTTGAATATTTGCGTTATTATTGTTTGTTAAGTGGGAAAACAAGGAAATTATCAACCACGTTTTACAAACTTCAAGAAAAAGTAATGTTACTTTTAAGTAACTTGTTAGACGACTTATTTTCATACCAAAAACTATACT